AAGTGTGTGACAAAGGTACAAACAGAATGCTCCCTGTGCACAGGGGATCATCATTCTGACGTGGGATGTGAGATGGCCTGTGGGTGAGATTTAGGAAGGAGGCTTCAGGCTGAGAATGCTGTGGGCAGAAAAAAAAAAACATGGCGGTCAGACGTTCTCCAGGGACTGGCGAGTGGTCTTCAGGGACTGACTGGGAGGAATATAGGGCAGAGCCATAAAGAAAGTTAGGGTATCAACAGAGGATTCTAGGTCTTACTTTTAAGGAGGGAAGCTGACCCAGCAGGATTTGGGCTTTCATTGGATGTGATGGGTGAGTGTAGTGGGTTCAATGGTGTCCCCTCAAAATTCATGCCCACTGGAACTTTTGAGTGTGAACTTTTTGTAAATAGGGTCTTTGCAGATGTAATTAGCTTCAGACCTTGAGATTCAAGATGAAATCACACTAGGAATAGGATGGGCCTAAATCCAGTAACTGGTAGCTTATAAAAAGAGGACACCCAGGGAAAAGAAGGTGATATGAAGATGCAGGAAGAGGTTGGAGGGACTCAGCCACAAACCAAGGGACACCTGGGGCCACCAGAAGCTGGAAGAGACAGGGAAAGGTTCTCCCTGGACCCTTCAAAGGGAGCAGTACGTTGTCAACACCTTGATTTTAGACTTCTGGCTTCCAGAACTAAGGATGATAAGCCACACCGCTCATAGCCATTTGTTATGGCAGCCCTCGGATGATCGTATGGGGCAGGAGAACATTTGAACTCAGTATGGACCTTCCAGTTTGGATGCTGCAGGACCCTTGTTGGGGATGGCCGGTGGGTAGCTGGACACGTGAGAAGAGCAGGTGGGATTAGAGAGATCAGCCTGAATGTGGTCACAGGAAAAGTGAGGGGCAGGTGAGATCGCCAAGGGAGGGGGTTCAGAGTAAGAAAATAGGGCAGAGGGCAGACCCTAGGAGACCCCTCCATTGAAAGTGGCATTCTTGGCTCATGTTAAACAGTGTAGAGAGTTCCTCAGGGTGTGGACGGGGAAGCAATGCTGGTTTGAAAATTCTTTGACATTTGGTCATGTCCATACCCTGCTGCTCTGGTTGAGAAGAGTGGGAGGAGAAAAAGAGCAGACAGGAAGCATGGGCTACTCTTGTTTTGTTTTGTTTTTTAAAGATTGCATTTATTTACTTGACAGAGATAGCGAGAGAAATCATGCACAAGCAAGGGGAGTAGCAGGCAGAGGGAGAGGCAGACTCCCCGCTGAGCAAGGAGCCCAATGCAGGACTATATCCCAGGACCCTGGGATCATGACCTGAGCCTAAGGCAGATGCTTAACCTGCTGAGCCACCCAGGCGCCCCATGTGCTACTCTTTTAATAGAGTTAGACTGTGAACACAAGGAGACATGCCATTAATTGTAGATGAAGGAAGGAACATCAGTGAAGGAACTTGATACAAGGTTTTTAGGAATATGACACTTTTCATGATATTTTTTAGGCTGCAGGAAGGAAGCCAGGAGAAATGGCAAATAATCGATGAAACATGTTTCCAGAGAAGAGACTTACAAATATTTTTTTGTTGTGCATCTGTTATGTGCCAGGCACTGTGCTGGGGTTTGCCAGAATGATCTTACTGATCTTCTCAGTACTCCTACGGAGTAGAGAAGGGTGGTCCCCGTTCTGTTGCGGGGAAACTGAGGCTGGGAACGCCACAATAATTTGCTCAAGTCCAGATTTGAGCCCTGGTCTGTTGCTCTCTGTCTCAGTTCTCGTTACATGATTTTCCACTGGAATGCGGAAAGCAGCGGCTTTCTCTGATTCACAAAGAAGCAGCAGCAGCATAAAGAAATGAGCAGATCTGCAGTGGAAGAGAGGGAAGTTCTGGGTGTTTCTGTCACATGGTCTTACCAAACTATGAGTTAAAATTATCCGCTGTGAGAGAGGAAGAGGGAAGCCCAGGGGGTCTAGAGAAGGGAAGGGATTCAGGATAACCTCAGAAGCCAGCCAGGAGGAATGAAAAACCTTGGTTAATCGCTAAGACTCTACTAGGATTAGTGGCCTGGGTTTTTAGGGCAGCTAAGGTGTGTTGGGTGAGCAGAACCGGATTTCAAGATGGACTTCTAGCCAGAAAGAGTTTAGTGACAGCTCTGAAAATGCTCCAGGCCAGATGTCATCCTGATTTTAACACCACACCTCCACGGCTTGGAGAACCAGCCACTGGATATCCCAAGGCGATTATCAGTCCCAAACCCCTGCTCCACGAAAAGACCCTGACCAGCCCAGAGTGGACCTGTCCCATCCATGTATCCCCTTACAGCCCCCCAGCCCCGCCCCCGAGCTGCCTGGCCAAACCAGGTGCACTCCCAGCCTCTGGCAGGGTTACCATTTCTGATATGAAAATAACCTAAGTCCTTGACTCAAAAAATAACAGCATCTGCTAATTTGCATATGAGTTTTGCATTTCATATTTGGGCTTAATATCCAAATGCGAAAATTCATTTTGTTCGACCTTAGTTAAGTGGTTTAGGGTTCAACCGATAAAAACTCCTCGTGGAATGCTCCATTCTGATGTAGTCGGACTCAGCTCCCCGCCCAGGACGACTGTCTTCCTGCCATCTGGCGCTGTGCCCGCCCTACACTGATCCTCCTATGAATTACGGGTTAAAAAGGACCAATCAGTTTGCCAGAAGGCTTGATATATTTTTTTTAAAGATTTTATTTATTTATTTGACACTCAGAGATCACAAGTAGGCAGAGAGGCAGGCAGAGAGAGAGGAGGAAGCAGGCTCCCTGCTGAACAGAGAGCGCGATGCGGGGCTCGATCCTAGGACCCTGGGATCATGACCTGAGCCGAAGGCGGAGGCTTTAACCCACTGAGCCACTCAGGTGCCCCAGGCTTGATATTTTTAAAAGGGTCTCAGCAGGTGCACCTGCCCAAGTTCCCCTGTCAAGAGCTTCTGCCGTGGGCCTCTGAGCCCCTCCGATTCCCCCAATGTCTTGATTCGTGATGAGCAGCCCCGCCTTGGACGTCCCTGGGACCACGTGTGTGAGGGCAGCAGCTGTGAAGTGAGAGTTCTGAGAGGACACAGCAGAGAAGGTGTTAATAATCACAGAGCTTCGTTCTCCTTAAAGACAATTACTGGGATTGATTGTTTCTGTGTTTCCTTAGTCACGGTTCAGCTTGCTTGTTTGACTTGGATTAAGACAGATGAACGCCAAGTGCACACAGTCACGTGATGTCAGAATTATCAATGGAACGTCCAAGGCCTCTGCTTCCTCCTACACATGCTGCTAGGGTTCTCAGCTGCGCTGAAAGGGGATCCTGGACTAGGGGGCGATGAAGCACATGGGGCAAAGTATCGTAGACTTCTGAATTTTAGCTAATGCACTCTGTTTTCTTCCCATGTGCGGGGTAATGTGGTTTTCCAGTGAAAGCTGGCACCTACATCCCCCTGGAAGGCTTGCTAAACACAGATCCCTGGGGTGGGGTGGGGGGCGCCTGATGGCTCAGTTGGTTAAGCGTCAACCTCTTGACTTCGGCTTATGTCATGATTGGCTAAGGTCATGATCTTAGGGTCATGAGATCGAGCCCCATGTCAGGCTCTGTGCTCAGCAGGGAGTCTGCTCGAGGATTCTCTTTCTGCCTCTCCCCCACCTTTCTAATAAATAAATAAATCTTTAAACACACACACACACAGATGCCTGACCCCCTTCCCTAGAGCTTCTGACCCAGTGAATACAGGCTTGGGCCCAAGAATTTGCATTTCTCGCTGGTTCTAGAACACCGCTGCTGCAGGGGTTTTGGACACCCCACTTTGAGAACCAGCGGGATAGTGATGAACAGAATGGACACTGGGACCAGGCCACCAGCCTTAAAATCTGGACATGACTGTTTTCAAGCTGTGTGACCATGGGCCATTTACTCATCCTCTCTGTGTCCCCGTTCCCTCATCTTGAAAGCAGGGATCATCACAGTATACCATGAATGAGAACTTGAATGCGCTTAGACCAGCACCTGGTATATGGAGTACGTGTTCCATGTGTGTTGGATAAATCAGTAAAGGAGCCAGGCTCAGGATTGTGAGCGTATCAGCCAGAGTCTCATTTCTCTGACACCTGCAGCTCCCAGTGGAGTTGCTGGGTCATTTTCCCCATTAGTCTTCAATCCCATCTCTTGTGGCCAGGAAAGTGAATGCCCAGCAGGAGGGAGGTTACATCAACAGCCATCAAAATCCTCTTCTCAGGCTACCTTAACCCTTAACATCTACTTAATACACAGACGGTGACTCATGGAGCCTGGACGGTAGGGCAGTGTGCTTTTGGGGTTTCTCTCCCCTGTGCCGCCAAAAAGAGGGGCTGCCCTTTATGTCAAGTTCAGCTACAGCCTCATTCTGATGGCTCTCATTTGTTGAACACTTCCCCCGTGCCTAGCACTTACGTGTTTTACACATATGATTTTATTTAACCCTCAAAACATTACTATACACAATAATTATTACCCCCATTTCCATGCTGCCGGGGTTCAGAAAAGTTAAATGATGTGACCCAGGTCACAGAGCTACCAAGTGATAAACTCAAAACCAAAATCCGGGTGTGTCCAACGTCAATAATGTGTTATCTTAAAAGTTCTCCTACCATATACCACGGCCCTAGCTGTCTATGCACGTTGATATGAAGGTTAAGGCTGGGTCCCTAGGTATCCAGCAGTGGTCAGTAAGCACCCCAGAATTGGTACTGCCTGTTTCAGGGGTTTTGCTTTTCGAAAGCCTGTCATAGGACTCAGAGAATGTACTCCTTTTGGAAATGGACAACTCTGGCCTGACTTCTGGGTACAAGTATGTTCATGTTGCCAAAGGCGGCTTTCTTTCTGAATTTGGATATTGACCTAGTATCTTTACATTACTGATCGGGAGTAGTGCGCCCAGCATGATGGTCAGGAGAAGGTCCAGAGACTGTATGGTGAATGTGAAGAGAAGAAAAATGGTATGCTAATGGAACTTTACTTTTTTCCCCCGTAGTGTTCCTTTCTGCCGAAATTCTCCATTCATATAGAAACCAAGTACGAGGACAACAAAGGAAGCAACGACCGCGTGAGTAGTGCGCCCCCCCCCCCACCCCCACCCTGGTTCTGTACCGTGCCCTCACCCTCTGGGCTCTGAGAGTTATGACAGTTTCCCGGTCCCATGGGTGCTGAGGGCCAGCGGCAGGATCTGTGCCTGGGACCTTGGAGAAGCTCTGGCATTTGCTTTCTGGGGCAATTTCCCTATTATTTCTCCCTGGAATTTCTTTGTGGCCCAGCTTTCTTTCCAGCTTTATGTCCTTTCTGCAGGCCTCTGTGCAGAAATCTTGGTGACCCAAAATGGTTGTCGTTGGTGTTTGAGGGGGAGGTGGGGACCTCGAACTCCAGGATTTGCTTTCTGAACACTGGATTGAGCGTACATCTTCTCAGTGACTATTAACATTTACTTGGAAAACTGATTATGGGGCACCTGGGTGGCTCAGTCAGTTGAGTGTCTGCCTTTGCCTCAAGTCGTGATCCCAGGGTCCTGGGATCGAGCTCCATGTTGGGCTCCCTGCTCAGCGGGGAGTCTCCTTCTCCCTCTGCCCCTCCCCCTGCTCATGCTCTCTCAAATAAATGAAACCTTAAAAAAAAGAAAAGAAAAATGAACACTATCAAATATCTGTGTACATCCTGTATGGATTTTCTGGACTATGCTTATGTTCCTATAAGTACACTAATACATATCCCACATTAAAATCAGTGTACCTGTCCTGCAAAGTACTTACCTTATGGGACAAGCCAATTCTTTCTAGATTTCAGCCCCATACTTTGTTAGTATTGGTGAGAATCCATCTTCTGACCCGGCCTTTACCCCAGCCTCTTTCAGTTGGGGCCATGTCATTGGGAGTTGCCTTCTCTTAGGGAGTGGATGTTTTGATGATTCAAGAGCCTCACCCCAAGATTGGGCTCTGGGTTCCATCAGGACCCACTGAGGGAAAAGCCTGGCTCTAGAGGCTACAGAGCTTTACCCATTAACCTCTCCTCCATTTACGTGTTCTGCGTTTGTGGAAAATGATGAAGATGGAGACTCTGTCATAATGGTCAAGAGAGACTTTCCTGACAAGGTGACCTCTTTGGAGCCTTCCCAGAGCCCAGGGAATACAGACCAGGATGCAAGAGGATGTGGAGGTACCTAAGTGCCATGAGGCAGGAGCTATAAGGACTCACAAACGTCATCAACTTGAACTCGTTTTTCCAGGTGAAAACAGTCCCTGAAAAGAACTAAGAAACCCTTTAGAAAGAACCGTTTTTGGCCAAGCCTACATTATGGTTCTTTGTGTCAACGTCTTCTAGAAATCTCTTCTAGAAAGTTCCTGCCTGGGATGCCTGGGTAGCTCAGTCGGTTGATCATCTGCCTTCGGCTCAGGTCGTGATTCCAGGGTCCTGAGATCCAGTCTAGCATCAGGCTCCTTGCTTGGTGGGGAGCCTGGTTCTCCCTCTCCCTCTGCTTCTCCCCCTGCTCCTACTCTCTCTCTCTCTCTCTCTCTCTCTGATAAATAAATAAAGAAATAAAGTGTTAAAGAAGAAAAGAAATCCTTCTGGAAGGTACAGGCATATTTGAGGGGGAACATAGGTTGTCCTTTTCAAAGTGGAGTCTACCTGGACGGAGCTGGAGTGGCTCCCGGGGGGCGTCACTCAAGAACTCGGTTTCACAGCAGCTTAGTGTGGGAGGACACTCATTCCTTCATGCCCTTCTCAGCAAGGGCGCGTCGAGGACCTTCTCTGTTGAGTATTGAGTGTGTATCACGTCACATACTTGGTATTAAAAATGTAGACTCATTCCTCAAACTTCAGGTACTCGTAGCTTAGCTGGAGGAAAAACCAACATAATAAATAAAGACATAGGGCGCCTGGGTGGCTCAGTCATTAAGCGTCTGCCTTCGGCTCAGGTCCTGATCCCAGGGTCCTGGGATCGAGTTCTGCGTCGGGCTCCCTGCTCGGCGGGAAGCCTGCTTCTCTCTCTCCCACATTGCCTGCTTGTTCGCTGTGTCTCTCTATGTCAAATGAATAAATAAAATCTTTTAAAAAGAAAGAAAGAAAGAAAGAAAGAAAGAAAGAAAGAAAGAAAGAAAGAAAGACGGACATAAGCATGATAGTGGGCTTTCCTCCCTCAGCATAGAGTCGCTTGCCACTGCTAATAATCCCTTAGAGATGGAAAAAGCTTAAAAAGCAGGGTTCAGTTATGTAGTCCTCCCTTCCCTGTGGGGGACACATTCCAAGACCCCCAGTGGATGCCTGAAACCACAGATAATACCAAACCACACATACACCTGTTTCTGCTTACATATCCATACCTGTTATAAAGTTTAATTTATAATGCGGATAAGGGGGTTTTGACTGTATTTGCAGGGACTGACTTGGCTGGTACCTGGTCACTTCATCTTCTTGAACTAAGTTAAGAAACCTGGAGGTTTTCCGGGGTCCGCAAACTACTTTTTTTGTAAATCAAGTTTTGATGGAACACAGCCACACTCATTTGTGTGTGATTGAAGGTGTTTTCCTGCTGCAACAGCAGAGATGCATTCCTGCAACCGAGCTCATATGGCCCCTTAACCCTAAACTGTTTACGGCCTGAAAAAAGTTTGCTGACCCCGGGTTGGAGAGACTCAAATCAGAACAGCACCCAGCAGGTCTCAGAATTTGACCCAATCAATAGATGTCACCCGCTGTCCCAGCCAAATGCCTTCTCCAGAATTCCCGAACTTTCCAGGGGAGAGAAGAATGCAACTGGCTGGGGTACTGGCCTCGGTCATTTCAGAATCCCCAACCGTTAGCGTCCCTTATTGGTTGATAACCTCAAGGGAAAATTTTAGGACCACCTCCTCGTCAGCAGCCTGAAATAAGAGGTGCTTTGGTGGCCAACCACATCAAAACTTCAATGTCTGAAGGAATGTTACATCACCCTTAAACTTGAGCCCTTGTAAAATAATGACTTTCCTGATTGGAAGATTAACACACGGTTATTAAAACTTGGGAAATGCAAAAGAGCACCACCCCCCCCAAAAGAAAAGAAAATCCAATAGTTTTTCTGTAATTCAGAGATTACTGCTGATGGCGCTTCATGGTACAGATCACTATAAGTTTTTTAGACAATTGCCCCAAAACCGAATCACACAGAATGCCATATCCTGAAGTATCCTTCCCTGTATGATTTTATTTTATTATTTTTTTAAGATTTTACTTATCTATTTATTTGACAGAGAGATCACAAGTAGGTAGAGAGGCAGGCAGAGAGAGAGGGGGGAAGCAGGCTCCCCACTGAGCAGAAAGCTGGATTCGGGGCTTGATCCCAGGACCCTGAGATCATGACCCGAGCCCAAGGCAGAGGCTTTAACCCACTGAGCCACCCAGGCGCCCCTCCCTGTATGATTTTAAATGGCTGCACTGTATTCCATACTTAAGTGTACTCGCCAGACACTGGATAGTGAAATGGGCTTGACCCTTTTGATGTTTCGATGTGGCTGAGGACCATCGAGGAAAGGCTGATACAGAGCAGACGTCCCTGAACTATGTTAACCGGCGCAGTCTGAAAACACAGCATGGGGAACGTTTTCGAATGTCCTTTAGTCTTTATAAACACATTCCCTTGCTTTTTTTCCCTGAGGTTCTGACCTCACGAGTAGGTAAAACCTGCCCCATTTGCAGAGGTGTGAGGACATGTGCAGGCTCACCGAGATCCTTATAGATGGATAGGACAAGCGTGATCTTCTGGTGTAGTCTCTGCTCAGTTCAGCTGGTCCAGAAAAATGGACATGGTTGTCATTTCATTATCCCGTATCCCTTTGTGGTGGGTGCTAAGTTCTTTTCGCTACTCTGGTAGGACCTTAAAATCCCAGGTTAGCCACCTGAAAGCCAGGATCCGTGGTTGGTGTTAACATCCTCCATCCACATCCTCTGTCCGTGCTCTCAGAGATTTAGTTTGGCCCGTAAGAGAAGCGCAGAGCCCCTGGGTGCTTGGAGGCGGTCCTTGTCAAGACAGTTTGCTTTCCTCTGGGAGAAATTCCAGCCCCTGTCCCCTGTGTTGCCTCCTTCTCCCCAGTTTACTGACTCTGAGACCACTCATGGGCCCCACGCTATGTGGCGCCCAATTTGTCCAAATTCCCATCCCAGCCTCTGCCTCGCTCCACTCCATAGAACCCCAGGTCTTGCTTCAGAGGCCACAGGGTCAGACAGACCAGCCCTGTCTTGATCAGACTTCTTGGCCAATTCTTCTTCCTCCAATTACCATATCCAAGAGCAGTTGTTGGGTCACCCACCTGCTTCGAGGTTGGTCCCAGGAAGGCGGAAAAGGAAGACTTCACTGGTTTTCGTTCACGCTTGTTACTGTTTCAAAATCAGAACACGGCAAATATATATTTATGTAATAATGCTTTCATTGTTAAAAGCCAGCTTTGTCCAGGGGTTCAAAGCTAGAGCCTCAAGCAGATGGTGTGTGCTGGCATACTCTTTTTCTATCCAGGGAGGAGTCTGGAGTTGTTGGTGAGAAGCAGAATTGCTAGAGAATGTTGTGCAGTAGTGGGTATTTCTCTGGTCTCATGGCTTTGCCAAATTATTTAATAAACTCAGTTTATTTCTTTGCATTTTCTGGGAGTATAGTCTTATCATTCGGCTAGCATCCTTCATACTGTTATCTGCATCCTGTTTCCTCCCCTACCTGCCAAAAACTTAATGAAACTGATGACGGATGATAAGAAGCAACAATTAAATTGAAAGACGCTAGTGATAATCATATTGATTAGTGATTGAAGAGAGTACATGTTGTTATCCCATTATCAATCACTGTACAAGTAATTTTTTTTACATGACCCCATATCTAGTTTAAAAAAAAAAATAGTAGTGGGATGACTAGCTATAAATATCTTCTCCTCGTTAAAATAAAACTCATATTTATGATTGTGAAAACCTGTAAGTTGTGATTACATTAACCAGGACACAGTGGGAAAGTTGTCTTAAATTGAAGCCCATTTATTTTGTGCACGTAATAATGAGAATTATTTAGGTTTTAATTAGCACTGGGGAGGACGGCAC